TAAATCTATGATCCTCTGATTCCCGAGTGCTTTTGTAAACTGTGAAGCACTTTATTTTATTTTATTTTAGTTTTGTGAAGCACTTTAAAAATGGGAGTTTGCTGTTTTTCTCTTAACCTCTGCCTCCATTGGAATCTATCATCCATTGGGAGGCTATCCAGGGGCCTTCCCATGGGCGTCTCTCATGCCAAAAAAGCAACAAATATATTTGAATGTGATTTATTCCACTTTGAAGCTGGGGCCAAAGTGGAGTGGCTAGGATGGCCTGTCCATGTGGTCTCTGTGTTCGGGTGAGAAAGGTGGAATTTTAAGGGAGAAAAAATGCAGCTGCAAATGGAATAGAGTCAGAAAACCTGAGTTTTCCCCGCCCTCATCCTTACTAGCAAGGCAATCCCCCATGTGGAGACTCAGCTTTCTCTTACATAAAATAGGAATCATCTTTCAAGCATAAATTGTCATATGGTTGTTGTAAAGAAGGCACTTCAGAGGCAGCAAGGCCCTGGATTCAGGAGGACCTGAGTTCAAATCTGGCCTCAGACACATAACACTTACTAGCTGTGTGACCCTGGGCAAGTCACTTAACCCCATTGCCTAGCTTAAAAAAAAAAAGGCACTTCAAAGATAGTTCATGGGAGAATGATAATCCCCAATTTACAGATAAGGAAATCAGAGTCGCATGACTAGGAGTTGGTTTTTACTAATATTGTCCCCTTCAGAGTAAAATCAACCCATGTCATGGATGAAAAATAGAGTTGGAAGATCCTGACACTGTCACCAGTAGGGGAAGGGAATAAGGCTCTGGAATTGGAGCCAGAAGACCTGGTTTCAAATTCTGTCTCTGCTGGTTCCAGATTGTGTGATGTTGGACAAGTAACCTGCCTTCTGGGCCTCAGTTTCCTCATCTGTAAAATGAAGGGGTGGGAGAAAGAGGAGCAACTTGATATGGTATATGGACTCTTGGAGTAGGAGTCAGGAAGACCTGCATTTGAATCCATAGCTATATGACTTTGGGCAAATCATTTAAGTACTTTCAAGGGCAGCTAGGTAGCACAGTGTATGACCCTGGGCAAGTCACTTTACCCCCATTGCCTAGCAAAAAAAAAAAAAACAAAAAAGAAAAAAAAATCATTTAACTACTTTGGATCCATTTTTCTCTTCTCTGAAACAAGGATTGGATGTGAAAAACTCTAAAGTCCATTTGAATTCTAGATCTGTAATCCTATGATGAGATAATCTTTAAGGTCCCTTTAAGCTCTGACATTCCATGTTCTAAGGTCCCTCCTATTTCTGACATTCTGTGTTCTAAGGCCCCTCCTGTTTCTGACTTTCAGTGTTCCAAGGCCCCTTTTATTACTGACCTTGTGTCCTAAGGCCCCTCCTAGGAAAATTTAACAGCAATAATCACATTTTTAAAAATGATCCCGACCTCTAGTTTCATTGGAGTAGGAAACATGAGGTGAGACTTCAAGCCTCCTTCTCTTTCCTCCGTGGCTACCTTGAACCCAGGGCTTCCTGAATCAGAGGGCAGGTTACTCTTCAGAATGATAGCTGGCATGAAATGCTATACTTTATATTGGTTCTCCACTTTGAACCTTACATCAGTTCTTGGGTGGTAAGTGCTGCCATTATCCCTATTCAACAGATGAGCAAGCTGAGGCTGAGAGAAGTGACATGATTTCCCAGTGGTTGGTCCCTCTGCGCCTAAGTGGCAGTGGCTGGATCAGAACCCCGTGGTTCTTGGCAGTCAAACCCATATCTGCCTCTGCCTTCCCCTGGGGCCTCCCGGTGCGTCAGGCTCCTCCCCCACCTTTGTTATATTGGACACATTTCTGGCTGGCCAGTTGCGGGGGGGGCAGTCTCCCAAGCCTGGTAATTTACTGGAACTTCAGGAGCTATGTTCACCATTCTTTTGGATGCCTTTGTTTGGTTCTCTTATCTCTAGTGACCTTCCTCTGGCCACTGAAGGAGGGTGAGGGCGGAACCCAACCTGGCTCAGGGTTTTCTAGCCTAGACTCCAGCCCCTCCCCTTGCTCCCCACCTCAGTCTTGGCATTTCAGGGTCTGAACTGGAGCCAGATGTTTGAGCTGGGGAAGCTCCTGCTTCCTGGAGGCCCTGGTATTTGCCCCCAGACTCTGGGTTGGTCCATCAGCCCTCCTGTCTTGGCAGGAGGAAGGAAGGAGCAGATTCGGGGCTGATGCTGAGGAGGGGTTCCCATAGAAACGCAGGTTTCTCTGTATGACTCGCCTCTGACACCTCTTCTCCTCCCCCTCCCTGCTCCCAGCTGCTTTCTCATGCAAACAAGAGTGTTGTGTTGGAAAGCTGGGCTGCTCTGGGATGAGATGTTCTCTCTGGCGGGGAGCCCTGGGAAGTCCCCCTGTGCCCGCCGTCTCCCCAGCCCTCTCCCCTTCTTCATCCCACTTCAGCTCCTCTGCTCATTTCTTACTCCTTGTCCTCTCTTGTGCTCTCCTCCCTCTTCTGTCTCCCCCATCCTCTCCCTAGTTCATTTTCTCTCTCTCATTTCTACTCATAACCCTCCCTCTTTCTCCTCCCCATCTTTTTCCGTCTTCTCTTTCTCCCTTCCCCCTCCACCTGCCCTTCCGTCTTTTCTCATTCCCTGTCCCTGTCCTCTCCCCCCTTTCTTCTTATTCTCCTTCTCCTCTCTACCGCATTCCCCTCCTCCATTTTGTACCTTCTCTTTTCCTCTTCTTTATCCTACTCCTTTGTTCTTTTCCCCCTCCTATATCCCCTGTCTTCCTCTCCTCTTTCCCTTACTTTATGCCTACCTTCCTCTTCCTCTTCTTTACTTTCTTCTTTATCTTCTTTACTTTCTTCTTCCCTTTCTCCTCTTTTCTGGCCTTCCCTCCTCTTCCTCTCTTTCCCTCTCTTTCCCCCCTCTCTCTCCCCTCCCTCCCTCCCTCTCCCTCCCTCTCCCTCTCTCTCTACCCCCCCCCCTCTTCTCTCTCTCTCTCTCTCTCTCTGTCTCTCCCTCTCTCTCCTCTGTCCCATTCCCCCTCCCTCCTCTTCCACCCCCTTTCCTTCCTCTCTCTCTCTTTCTCTTTTTCTCATCTTATGGCACAGAAAACTACTGCTTTTCCCAGAAGGCTTCCTGCTGTCCTTTCCCAGATTGATGCTTTTAAAGCATTCTGTAAACCTTAAATCAATTTAGAATTGTAACTTGTTATTATTTCTGCCACACTATACAGCCTCGATTCTTAGCTATTCTTCATGGTCAGTTATGGTAGAAAAGCATGTCTCAGTGCCACAGTGTGAAATTTATCATCTACAAATGCAATTTCAGATATTTAAATAAAGTCAACATCAATATAATAGAAGTTGACATACCACATAGCCTTATTTAATACAAACTAAATATGGATTATTGAGCTGGTGTGTTCACCATAGCATGCTGGAGCTGGGAGGGACCTTAGAACATAGACTATCATAGATGAATGAGACCTTAGAACTCAGCATGTCAGACCTGGGAGGGGCCTTAGAACAGAGAATGTCAGGACTGGGAGGGTCCTTAGAACACAAAATGTCAGAGCTGGGAAGAACTTCAAAACACAGAACCTTTCTAGCATTGACAGTCTTGTGTTCTAACATCGTGTATTTTAAGGTCCTTTCAAGCTCTGACATCCTATGTTCTAAGTTCCCTACTAGCTCTAACATTGTATTCTAAGATCCCTCCTATCCTGACATTCCACATTCTAAAATTCTGTGTTCTACATTCCCTCTGAGCCCAGACATTTCATGACCCAAC